TCTCTGCAAGTATGGGATATTCGGACACAAAAATTGAAACAAGACTTGCTAAGCCATGCAGATGAGGTACTTTTTCTTTGGGAAAGCCCTTGTTAGACATTTTCTTTTCTTAATTTGTGTCAAGATTGTATTCATTCTTTCTAACTCCACCAACCCACCACTCAAGAAGGTATTTGCTATTAATTAGAGTCCAGATGGTGAAAAGGTAGCCTCTGGTGGCAGAGATAGAGTTCTGAAGTTATGGATGGGCTAGAAACTCAACGTATACACAAAAAAGTGTATCAATAAGATGAGAAATTCATGCATTAGATTTGGAGCTTTCACAAATAGCAAGCAGGGAGTCCGCGAACAAAACAATGGGCATCTGGTGAAGGCCTTTTTTTAGATATGTCTGTAGTAATGTTGTATGCCACTTCATACAGCCGTGAAATTTGACGATTGAGCGCAGCTGCTTTTGGTGTATTGTGCAAATGCGGATGGGGAGATTTGAAGCCATGAAATTTGTCTTTCCTTTTTTTTGGGTTATAAATTCAAAAAATAACTGATAATCCATATATTGGAGCATATTTACACATTTGTACTTTCTTTTTCAGCTACATTTTTTTTGTGTGGGGGGGGGGATGTTGAGGCTGTCAAATATATGCTTTGCGAACAATTTTGTTTTGCTGGTTTTTTATTTTGTTTTTAATTTTTTTTGTCCAATATGCTAACTGGATCCCAGCTGATTGTAATTATAGATGTTGAAATATTGACCTTTGCTCTCTCTCCTCCCTCCCCTCTCTCTCTCTCTCTCTATATATATATATATAGAGAGAGAGAGAGAGGGGGGGAGGGAGGGAAGGAGAGCAAAGGTATATATATATATATATATATATATTCAACGACTTTAAATTTGATTTGCATGTCTGCCATGGAATGATAATAATTTGTCATCTAGCACATAGCTGCGAATTTGTTGTTTTTTCTAACTTGTTAGGCAAAAATTGTGGTGACATCTATCTTTTAGACCCTTCCTTTACCCCCCTTTTTTACTTGCAAAATATTTTACTTGCCTTGAATTTTTTTCAACTCAATTTGATTCAATTCAATAGATTGATTCACATAATATCCTAAAAAACTATGTTTTTATTTTCAAATGTTATTAAAATTCTGTACACACTATCACTTCTCATATTCGAGTAAGCTATTTCACATATACGGTGCCATTATAGTACATTTTGAAATTAACAACTCATTTTGGAAAAATTAAGTGCATGTTGGTTGCAAAAATGTTTTTTTATTTTCATTTTTTATTTTTATTTTTTGAAAATAATTTTCATTTTTTGGTTTTTAAATTTGTGAAAATGCTTTTGATTTGATTTGTTGTTTTCTATTTTTTAAACAATGAAACGATGTTTGGTTTTCCTTTTTTAGTACATTAAAAATAAGAACTTGGTTGAATAAAATTAGAATTTTATGATTTTGGGTAGAGGGTTAAGTGGAAGAATAAAAATTTTAAAGGTTAAATAGAGATTTGAAAAGTTTAGAGATTATATTAAATAATAAAGAAAAAATGAGGGATCAAAGTGTAAAAATTATTGCACAATTCATCTTTTAAGTGATGTATGGTACGTTTGAATCCTCTTAAAGGACGTATGGTACAGTGGAATGATTTTTGATGGAATGAGAATGAGAATGGGAATAGGAATGGAATGAAATAGAATCAGGATTCTTATGAATATATTTGGTGCATACTGATAGAATGAGGATTCTCATGCTATCATTATGTTTGGTATGTTGGAATAGAGATAGGAAAATAAACAAAAATAATGTTCAAAGACAAAAATACCCTTTGTTATAAAGATTTAAAAATTTTAAAAATAACTTTTAATATATTTTAAATGTATCAAAAAATTTTAAATATTATTTTTTATTCTAACATTAAAATATTAAATTCATAAATATATGTATTTGTATTTATATATATAATAAGTTATATATATTATATAAATATAATAAATAATATAATATATCATATTATACAATTTATTATAGTGTAATATAATATATTAATATATAATATTATAAATATTTATAATTTTTTATATTTATAAGATATTTTCGTTATTTACTTAAAAAGTAAAGGGTAATATAGTAATTAGCACATAAATAAAAATTCCATCAAATGATGAAATCCGAATTCCATCACTCTAGTGAAGGAATCAGGATTTCTTCATTTGATAGAATCTTTATTTCCTAAAGAATGAGAATTTCCATTTTAAAGTGTCTACCAAACATACTTTTTTTACGTTCTTATTCCTAAGGTGATTGAACTCCCACTAGAAGGGGAATTTTTCCAATTGGAGTTTGAAGGCATTAAAACTTGGCCAGATTAAGATGGCGTATGGTATGATGGAGTGATTTTTGATGGAATGAGAGTGGGAATGAGAATAAGAATGGGATGGAATTAGGATTCTTATGGGTATATTTAGTATACACTAATAGAATAAGTATTCCTATTCTATCATTATGTTTGGTATGTTGGAATAGAGATAAGAAAGTAAACAAAAAAAATATTTGAAGACAAAAATACCCTTTGTTATAAAAATTTAAAAATTTTAAAATTAACTTTTAATATATTTTAAATGTATTAAAAAAATTTTAAAAATTAATTTTTTATTCTAACATTAAAATATTAAATTCATATATATGTGTATTTGTATGTATATATATAATAAGTTATATATATTATATAAATATAATAAATGATATAATATATCATATTATACAATTTATTATATTATACTGATATATATAATACATAATCATATTATATAATTTATTATAGTGTAATATAATATATTAATATATAATATTATAAATACTTATAGTTTTTTATATTTGTAAGATATTTTCGTCATTTACTTAAAAAGTAAAGAATAATATGGTAATTAATACCTAAATAGGAATTCTATCAGGGGATGAAATCTGGATTCCATTGCCCTAGTGAAAGAATCTAGATTCCTTCATTTGACGGAATCCTCATTCCCTAGGGAATGAGAATTCTCATTCCAAAGTGCCTACCAAATATACTTTTTTGATATTCCCATTCTCATTCCTTTAAAAGAATTCTAACATACCATACATCACCTAAGATGACGTATGGTACGATGGAATGGTTTTTGATGGAATGAAAATGAGAATGGAATAGAATCAAGATCCTCATGAGTATGTTTGGTATACACTGATAGAATAAAAATTTACATTCCATCATTGTGTTTGGTGTCTTGGAATGGAGTAGAAAATGAAACAAAAAGAATGTTTAAAGACAAAAATACCTTTTACTAGAAACAGTTAAATAACTTTTATTTTTAATATATTATAAATATAATAAAATTTTAAAAATTAAAAAATATATATTCTATCCTTAAATATTAAATTTCAAAACAAATAATTTAATAATACAATATTATAATATATATATAGTTATTGAAACTTTATAAATTGGTGTTTGATTTTTTTTAACAATTTAATTCTATATTTTTAAATTTTTTTTCTATGTCTCAGATTATTAACACGTTATATAATTTAGTATACAACAATATTATATTTTCATTTCTTCTATTACTATTTTATTATCCCTTAATATCAGAAAAAAATAGTAAAATATCTTAATATAAAATATTTTTTACTTTTGGTATATGGGGGTAGTTTTATTATTTATTAAAAATATAAAGGATAATTAAGTAAATTTATATTGAGTTGAAGGAATAGAATTCGGATTTCATCATTTAAAAAAATTCTCATTACTTAAGAAACGTAGATTTTTATTTTAATATACCTACCAAACATAATTTTATAACATTTATATTTATTATTCAAGATTCTATTCTACCATACAGCACTTAATAAAACTTCTAGTCAACCATTTTTTGAATCAAATTCGAATGTTTTATTCTTATAGGCGGTGAAATCAATTATTGGCTAGATGTTTGATTCTTGGGTTTGGGTTTGAAGGTTGAATTCTTTGAATCGGTCGATGCTTATAGACAACGAAACCCAAGAAGTGGCGGATTTTTGCAAATTCCAGAAGTAGCGAGTCAGCCAAGTGGCTTCTCCCGCCACTATCTTTCTTTATCATCTACTCAGAAGGATTTCAAAACTAGAGTATCGGTGAAAAGGTCAAAAAAAGGTTTTGCTAGACGGCAGACCAGCAATGAGGAACAATGAGAAGAACGGAAGCACAAAGAGAAGAATAGAAGAAAAAAATATTTAATAAAAGCACAAAGAGAAGAATTGAAGAAAAAATATTTAGTAACAACTTTGTCATTGTACTTTCAATTTTAGACAGGTAACATTGAAAATATTTTTTTATTTACAATTTTCATCTTATTGTAGAGAACACTTTCAAAAAATGAAAATAAAAAATAATCTATTAAACGTAATTTTAATATCATTTTTTATTTTTAGTAAAAATAAAAAAAAATTACTAAACCAAACATACCTTAAAAGTTCGTAATCTAATTGAAATAAAGTGCAAAGTTGGCTATATTTACATTGCCTTTTTTGGTATTTCTATTTTAAGAACGAAATTTTAAAAATATTTTTTTTTTTACAAAAAATCATTTGGTTGGAAAATTTTTATTTATTTTGTTATTATAAAAAAATTAAAGTTTTATAAAATTTACTTTGTTTTAGAAAATTATTTTTAATCTAAAAAAATTCTTATGCAAATATAAGGAAGAAAAGATATTTCTCACCATTATCTTAAAAACAGATCTAAAATAAAAATATAAAACAACTATGAATAGATATGAAGAATAAGAAGGCATTTCCAATTAATAAAACGAAATAAAAAACTGGGTAAAATTCAGCAGGAATTTCACAAACAATTCCAAATAAAAGGCAAATTCAATCTAAGTTTTTCCCTTAATTCAGTGAATATCAAGATCGAGCAACAGCAATAATCATCGGAGAGATTTCGCTCTCCGTCGCAAAACTTTACATACGAACGACCAAAATCAATCTAGCAGAAACGACTTCGCCATCTCCAAATCCAACTGGGAAACCACTTTCTGCCGTGTCTCCATCAACCGCTCCCTCAACAGCTCCAGCTTTTGTAGGTCCTCGGCGCCGGCAGCTTCAAGGTCTATCGCATTCAACCACGCCCCAAAACCGCCGGTAGGGACGTCGTCGGAGGCGGCCAGGTAACGATCGACGGCGGCGTCGACAGGGAGCTCGCCGGAGGAGTGAGTGTAGCAGCGGTCGGCAGGGGAGAAGACAATTACAGCGACGCTAACGCCTGTAGCGAGGTGGAGATCATCGGCTTTCTTGAACAGACCCTTGCGCCGCTTGGAGAATGTGACCATGCGTGAGGATTCTTTGGTAATCTTCTTGATCTCGATCTTCTTCTTTCCCGTTCCCATCGATCTCCTTCGGAATTAATTTATGGATATACTGAGAAAATATGAGAAAATTGAGAGTATGTCGGAGATTGAATTAGTTGGAAGCGCTCGAGTATAAGAATATGAGGGGGAGAGCGAGCGGGAGCGGGAGAGGGAGAGTTTCCTAAATAGCGGGAAAAATCGACCGTTGGAGGACATGGAGTCTTGACTCTAGGAGTTTTGCTCGTCCTCTGCATTAATTAACCCAAAAGGAAATATCAAATATTAATATAATTTGGTCCGTTAGGAAATTTCGCTGTAGGAATTATTAAAAAGAATATTTCATTATTTTTTAAATTAAAATCTGTGCAGAAGATTTTGTTTTTATTATTTAAAAAATTTTTCCGGTAATCCTGACACACAATAAAGGGGTGGATAGAGCTCTTTAAGTGGGTCCAAAAATTGTCTTGCTAGCTGTCTCTAAAAACTGTTTGAATTAACTAAGTGCTGCAAAGTGTTGTTTCAAAAACTCCTGGTGGAATTAGTTGCCATAATAAAACACTTACCATGTATATCTTTGTCTGGGTGCTATGACTTGCTTGGCTGATATTGTGATTAGAGGCTTCTAACTTTCAGGCACATTAATCAACTGGATGCAGAGAAAGTCTGGATTTCCACGGCATTGCTTGAGCCTCCACTTGCATCTCTTGTGAAAGTAAGCTTATATTTGTCCAATAGTTTCACCTTCTTGTGTTGTCTTGATCCCTTCTTTTCTCTTCTTTGACTGATGTTTGTATTGATTATTGATTGCATAGTCCTGTAGGCCTTTTAATTGTTCTCTCTGTAATTTTTGTATACTCATCATCCTGTATTTCGGCCTAATTGTTTGAGTCTTGTTATTTATTATAATTAGGATCAGCAGATCAGAGAGCTATCACAGTGTGATGTAAACAAAAGAGCCAAAAAAACCTCGGGGTGAAGGGATGACTGGTAAGGCAGGTACTTTTTCTCCTTTGTAAAATGATCTTGTTATTCACTGGTTAATGGAGTGTCAAATTAGGTCCCTACCTGGCTCTTGATTGCTTGTAACATATTTTCCACTTTCATGTTTCAGTGTGGTATTGTTGAGGTTTTTCAAGTGAGTGTGAACTTGGGAAAACCTGCCCTTTCATTGCTTCTGATGTTGGTTACTTATTGGGCTACTATGGAACTCCAGTTTTCTTAGTGTTCCTAGCTCTTAGAGTAATCTGATTGTTAATTGGTCATTTCAAATGCTTGTTTCCTCTTTCAGATGTTCTTGTTTTTCAGTAAGATATGTGATTTAACTGAATGTGTTCCATAGGAAATATGCAAATTGCAAAAAGCCCATATGTGGTTTGGTGATAAATCAGATAAGTTGTTTTCAAAGTAATTAATATTATAAACTTAGTTTTTCATATTTATCAGATAAGAGCTTCAGAGGACAGTCAAGGATATGGGCAATGCCCAAATGATGTAGAAAGCCCTGTCCTTGTACATTGAAGAACTTTCAATGCTTTGAAGACAGAGTAGAATATAATACCAAAGATTCTGAAGTTACTTGATGCTTGAAGCCTAGAAATTGTCTAGACTTTGCTTTTTGTTACTTATGCAACATAATTCTGAACATGGATTTCAAAGTGATCTATATCTATTGGAATTTTTGCCCATTTCTTTTAGTTACTGTTGAGTAGGCAGAGAAAGTTATATTGTTGGCTTTCCTTCTTCTAAAGAGCTTAGTTCCCTGCTCGAAGCATTTTCCATCTTTGTAATTTGTCTGTCTGAATACCTCTTGATATTCAATAGAGGAGTTTTAAGAAAGTGGAGTGTGCTCAAATAGAATTAAGCACTCTTGTTTGGTTCTGTTTTCAAAAGATATAACATGTTCTGGGTAATGAGTTAAGTTGTCTGAAGGTAGATTAATCTGCAGAAGGGTGTACTATTTGGAGAAATGTGTATTTTCTTTCTCTGGTGTGGAACACTGATAGGAGCTTTGAGTGAGTCATGTTGACAAATGGAATGATGGGGATAATAATTTTTTAAGCCAGTTAAATGCCTAAAATTTGGAGTTTCCCAACTAATATACCACAGAAATACTTAAAAATTTATGTTGCTCAGACTCCTGATTCTTTCCTGATGTTACCATATCACATTGCTATATATTTATATTTGACATTCAGACATATTTTTGTTTTTGTTTTTGTTTTAAAGATGTAAAGTTCGCTTTATAAAGGATGCTGTAAAATTTGTGCAATGTTATTGTTTAGTGTTTCAGTTAGTTCCCTACTAAGCTATGTACATTGGCTGACTTCTATCCTTTCCTCCTCCTCCTTTTGTTTCCTTCTTTTTTTTTTTTTTTTTTTTTTTTTTTTTCCCGGGGGGGGGGGGGGGAGGGAGAAAGAGATAAAACAGAAGCCTGTTATTGCATTTGATGTCGGTATGACTGCTTTGTGCTCCACTCTACTCGCATCAATGGATTTTGGTTGAATTATTTGGAAGTTCATTCTTCTCAAGCAGCTTGTGGTACATATATTTCACATCCTAATTGTTAAAAATGTAAATCCAATCACTTGGGAGTGTGCAATTGAAACTTTCTTTGAAAAACTTGCTGAAAATGAATATACATTTGCTGAGAAACTAATTTATTTGGATTTTATTGTGGTCCTAGATTTTTTCTCCCATCACTAATAATAGTTGCAAAGTTAGTCAAAAAAGCAAAGGGATTTTCTGAAGTAGAAAATGGGAAACAAACATGTTTCCATTTGTTAATTTCAGAATTTTATTGAGAAACCTGTCCCCATATTATCCAATACTTAATGTTCTTTCCTTGGCTTTTTGTCTAACTAATCTGATCATTAACTTGGTTTGTTTTTGAATACCAATTGTAGCTAAAATAAGAGAGCAAGATTGGTGCAATGTGGTCACATGCCATGTGGATGCTTGTCATATTCCAAAACCAGGTACGTGACCGGCACTAAGGCTTAATTATCAATCTTAGTAAGTTTTGAACAAATCGAACATATAAAACTCAGCTAGATTTAATACACATATGACAAACATATGCAACTAAAAGATTTTGTTTGAAAAGAAAATGAAGTAACTCTAAAATATAATAATATAATAACATAGACAACAATTCTTGTACATCTGAAACAGCTTGGTAGAATGCCACTTACTCATTCAGGAAAGTGATTAAAGGGGTGAATCCACTATACGATTTGAAAATGCTGGAAAATGAGTGAGTATAAAATTTAGTGAATTATAATAAAAACCCTTATCATACTAAGACATGTCATAAAATGTGCCAAACATATACATATAATAAAATAATGAGTAACGCATACATATATTATTGAAAATTACACAGATACGCTTTATAGTTTCGAAAACATACAGGAGTATTAGAACATCAGAAATCTCATCTCACGACGGATTATATCATATTAGAGGTATTATATATCATACCAAGATCTTGTATTGAACAAAAATTAGAGCATATAAAATGCACATAATGTCATACCACAATCAAGTTTGTCAGAACTTAGAATAACTGGAACTAGAATAACTCCCTCCATGCGGTTTAAAAAAAAAAACCATATATAATGTAGGCATAACTTAAATTGAAATCAAATGTTTTAAGTAGGTCACTCAAATTTTAAGAAACTGAATACCTGTCCCAGATTTAACTTTTCTAAACCAATAAACTATATAACAACAAATAATTATGACTTGAGTTAAGAACATTTGTATAGAATAAGTATTATTATTTATAGTACAAGTTAGAGTCAAAACCCTAAATCTTCGAATAATGAGCTCATTGGTCGTAGTAGTTCTCCTCAAGCATATTATAATCACAATGATATAATATCAAAACTAGAATTGAAACTTAAATTATTTAAATGCTTAATTGCCTAGATTGGTTTTTAATCCCATTCAAAATTTTGGCACGCATCCCAAGATTAATTTTTAACACCCCAACCCAGAACGAATCGAAAATATAAACTAACTTTATATAAAAACTCTTAAACCGAAGTGAACCAATCTCATACAGCCTTGAACCAACCTAAATTGCCCTGAACCAACCTCAAGTATCACATACCAAAAAAGAAAATGTAATATTAGAAATAAATGATAAAAATTATATGGAAACAAATAAAAAAGTCAACTTTTCTTAATCATATTTAAATAAAAACTTTTAATCAACTTAATTAATAGCTTAACATCATTTTAGGTGTTTAATTAACTTATGTATAATATAAGTAATTTAATTAAAAATTCATAATTCAATTAGTTAGAAGTTTAATATTTTTATGTATAATATAAATAATTTAATAAATTATTATATATAAATTTTATTTTTATTTTTTTGAGTATGTTCAATGTTTTACACTTTTTTTCGGTACCAATAATTTCTATTTTAAAATTTGCAATCAAAATTGAAGTTTTTGCATTCATTTGGCAATGATAAATGTCTTGTTTAACTTTATGTTTTTGATAGGAAGAAAATATGGTGCTTAGTATAAATTGTTTTAAATATAACTTTTTTTCATTCATTTTTTTTTCTTTCTAGAACTACTTGTTAGTTTTGTCAAATAAAACTTTTTATTTATTTAGAATGGACAAATATCTGTGGGAAATTTTTTTAGTTGGGGTTTCACATTTATAAAGTAATTTATGAAATTTATATTAGGTGATAAATGAATAAGTGATCTATTATATTGTAATGTAAATTTGATAAAAAAGAAAAAATAAGAAAGGAAGGATCTCATTTTCTAGTTCATTATAATATTTACACTCTTTTTTCATACAAGTTCTTAATTTTTTAATTTCTTCAATTTGTTATTTAATTTTTGTTGATATTTATGAATTTAATCATTTTACATATAATATTAATAATTTAATAAATTATTATATATAATATTCAATTTGGTATGATTTTTTATCAATTTTAAATTTATAAAATCAAAATCATACCAAATATTTAGTATGATATTGCCTAATAACAAATCTTAAAACATTTGATTTGGGTACAATTTGGTTTATTGCAATTTTAAAAACTATGGAAACTTCTCGTCATGGCACCTAAGAGCGTGCCTCCTTGTGTGTCACCCTCAGCTTTTTTACACACCATCCTTGTCTTATTTGTCATCTATGATTCTCAATGAAAGAGCAACTTTTAGAAAGCACCAACTCAATGTCCAATTCGTCATGTAATCGACTACCATACTGTCCACTATCTTGCTGCTTCACCGTTCACAAAGTCACACCCTTTGAATAGCCGTTGCCATTGCTTTCGTTGGAACCATCTATGTGCGAAACATCCTCATTCGAATAGCCTCTTTTTGAACAACTTTCGTTCGAACGGAACCCTCGAAAGGCAAGACCTGGCACTTGCACGACTTTATTCAAAAATAAAGCCTCAAGAATATTACTATTACCATTGATAAAAGCTATTCATTAAGGGCTCTATTTGGGCTTTCCTTGGGGCTAGCTGCCACTTCATTTTTAATTACTCGAGCACTACTACTATTCTAATTTCAATGCTCTTAGCAAACCCCTAACACTTGAAAATCTCAAGGCACGCGGCCGTCTCCCATCGAACAGTTGGAAGCCGACCACAGGAATTGTGGGGACCACGCTTTTTATCAAAATTCAAAAGTTCTTTTACGAACAACAAAAATTCAAAGATGTGACTTTTGGATGTATAGCCCACCACCTTCCTCTCTCCTTTATCCTCGCATATTTATTTTCTTGAAAAAATAGAAATTTATATTGACTCCTTTAATTTTCGACATTTTCTGGATTGCCCACAATCAACACCTTCATCATCCTCAAAATAAATCATGTTCATTGTTTGATACAAATTAAATGTTTTTGTTCTTGCACGTCCTTGCTGCAAAAATTATGGTAAAACACTATGAAAGGAAAATAAAATTAGGAATTAAACTGATATTAAATTGTTACTCCATCAGTTTATATTACTATATTAAATAATATTTTCAAAACAATAATTTTTTATAATTCAAACCATTGAAAATAAAACTATTTTAATAAAAAAAGGGAGCTAGAAATTGCATTTAAAAATCAACATGACCATATCCTCTAATCACTGGAGGACAGTCCATACGCACTTTTTTTTTTTTTCCTGGAGTTAGGTCATGTTCATTGATTTTATCAAGATAGAGGTGTGTCCTCTTTTATCTATCCTTTGAATCTTTCAATTTATTCTTAATTTATCCTGGGTCACCGTCAAGTTAATTCATTATTGAGTTCTTGTTTAAATCATTGTTAAAAAACTCGGGCCCAGTCCGGACCAGCTGTCAGATCTGCGTTGGACAGAATCGAGAGGCTCTGCCTCTGCCGGGCCCATGATTATCGTATCCTTCCCTATTCAATGAACGCATGTCACGAGTCCGAGACTGATCTCAATCCCCCTCTCCCTCTCCCTCTCCCTCTCCCACGCACAGGGGACTGAAAGGTGTGTGCGTAACAAACCTCAAACCCTGGGAACTGAGTGTATGGAAGATCCAGTAGCTCTTCCATTCATATTTTGATTTCTATTGTGTCTCGTTCTCATCCTGTTTCATTAATATCCATGGTTTAGGTTTCCTCCGATTCCAAACCTGCAATTTAGTTGCTCGTTTTGCGTCTCCTCAGGGCCCGAAGTAAGTTTTGTTGATGCGGATTTGAATTTTTGATATTCATATCAATATGTCAAGATTCAATCATCTTCCGATTTATGTTGTATCTGTAGCGTTCGCATTACAGTGATCAATCGTCCCTGGCATCTGCCACTACACAAAATGTATATGTATGCACGTATATATGTATGTGTGTGTGTGTATTTCTCTAGGAACATGAGGCAAGTGAAATGTTGCACTTACAAGAGCTTAAACTATGTAAGTGTATATGTACGTATATATGTATTTTTATATATATTTATATGTACATATGTAAGTATTTTCTTATATGATACAAAGTACATAGAGTATGTCTGCTTTAGTAATTCAAGTTCTAAAAGTTTCGTTTTGTATATCAACTTGTATGTTTAATGATGTTTAGCTGACAAATTATCTTTCATTGTCCTTCACATTGACGAAGCCTGTGGAGAAAATAGATTGTGTCAAATGATGAATTATATCAAATAATGAACTATATAGGTATATACTGATTTTTTTGTTTAATTCAGTTTTTCTGTTTCAAATTGTAGTCCTTTTGAGCTTCCATATATGTGGCATTTTGTTACTGAAAACAGGTTTATATTTTCTGCTAGCACGCTAATATCTGATACTTCGCACCCTTTGGGTTCTTATATTACATTTCTAGATTAATTGCAAATGATGTGATTAGTTGTATGTGATAGCTGTCTTTCTCAAGCAAATTAATAAAGCTTTTCTTAGATGTCTTTCTTTTTAGAATTACTTTTACATTTTTATGTATGTCTACATTTCCATATTTTAATTTTAATTTTATTTTTTGCCTAAGCATGTCGATGTTTGTGTCCCCAAGCAAACAGGGTATCTTTTTTTTCTCCTTCTGTGTAAAAGCAAATTCATTTTTGCTTTGCAATTTGAGTTTGTTTTGCAGGTGCGATGGGGATTTATCTCAGCACCCCAAAAACTGATAAGTTGTCAGAAGATGGTGAAAATGACAGACTTAGATATGGTGTATCATCTATGCAGGGGTGGCGGTCAACCATGGAGGATGCAGTGAGTATTTTATGTTATGTTGTTCTCTAACTTATTTGTATCATTTGACTCAATTCAGTTAATAGTAGAATATTACCTATATCTGTAGTCCTATGTAAAGGCAGGACAAATTTTTGTTTAACCCGAATGTGAGACACGTCATGATTTGGATTAAGAAGTAAGTCCTTACATTGCAAAGATTATCATAATATTGTTATTTTGTTTAGAGAGGTGTGCTTTTGGAAAACAAGGGCAAATGTATTTATGTGAAATATTTGCCTGCAACTCATTGATCCCGCCAGCCCTTCCACTTCTTTTATGATGCCTTACTACTTGCCCACACAATGGTCTGTGGTTTCCTAGTTAGAAATTAAAAACCATTGTGCATTTTGAGTGGCTTAGTCTTGGTAAAATTTCTGATGTTTTAGTTCATCCAAAGATGGTCATTAAGCATGCCCCTTTGGACAAGTGATTCTGCATTGCCAATGTCCTTCAGATGCAAGAAAGACTGAACTGGAGATTAATGTGCATATTTTGGGAGGTATTGTTTATTAACTAGATAAATAATTGAACGCATCTGCTGGTTACATTATCAATCCAGAATAATAGTCATATGATCAATCTGAATATTTACATTACTTAATTTCAGTAGTTATGGATGTTACATCTCATTTTACTTGTCCATTACAAGTCTGAGATCTTTAGGTCGAGAAGCCTATTTAAGCTTGCTTGCCATCTAGGTTGTTAAGAATCTAGAATGATCATAAAGGTTACCTCTCAAATTATTGCTCTTTGTTGGTTTGGGAGAAATTTGTTAGTGCTTCAATCTTCCACTGAAGTAGTAAGGTCTTTTATTGTTTTTAATCTTTTTAGGGTGGGGATTTTTGTAAGTTGAGGTGGCAGATCCCTTTACTTAATGTTCTGAGGTGGTCTGAAGATATGGCTGTATTGACAACTGTTAATAGTCTAGTGGTTACAACAGAGGTGGTTGACAAGACATTAGCTTGATGCTCTCGGTGGCAGGGTGAGAACATTTTCCAACTGACTTAGGTTGGGTTTCTTTTAGCTACTAGAAAATTTTCTGCTGTTCTTATGTCTTTTTTTGTTTTTCCTATTGTACTCAAGATAGCTTATTTATCACAATATTAAGAATTTGATGATACTAAACAAATACAGTGACAAGAATGAGACTGGTAAAATGGTAGTACATCTTCTTATATGATTTAGTATTCCAGTTTGATTATCGTCTTATATATTTATTTTTGGCTTGAATGTTAAAGCTTCTTCTTCCCTCTTTCAATTTTGTATGCCTATTTTGCATTTTAAATGAAGATCAGGAGGAAGAATATATTTTGAAATTCCACCCATATTTTTCCACCCATATTTGTGTTTCCTATTTGGCTGATTATATGCTATAACAAGATGAGTTTTTTTCTGTAGCATGCAGCTTATCTGGATTTGGATGCTTCCACGGCTTTCTTTGGCGTGTATGATGGTCATGGAGGTAAACAATAAACGTACCCATTTTTAACTTCATTTGAATTTCTATATTATTTTTAAGTTTTTAGGATACCATAATCCATGTGTAACATTTGTGGTTGCGAGCTGATTTATTTGGGTTTCTGTATCAAGTGGTCACATTACTTTGCTTGCATCCATTCGTTATCATTATTTGAACGATTTTTTAGTCTGAATTATTCCAATCCCCATATTGAAGATGTGGATAATAATGTATATGCCAATTGTATTATTCGCTGTAAAGATGCAAGTATATGCATGGTTAAGATGTGTAAAATACGATCTGAATCATGTCTTGGGCTTCTTTTCTTTTTCTTTTTTAAAAAATTACTTTTTCAGTGCAAAGGAAAAAGGTTTACGACTGAAAATGTTGGTTTAGTTTTGGTTCCTGAAACTGGTTTGCTAAATAATATATATTCATGTATTTAAATATGCCATTAGATATTTTATACATATTGCAGAATAATCAACAACAAAATGGGAAAATTCAAACAAAACCTAGTTTGTTTTAATTTTCTATTCCTTAACATGTTAAATTGTTTCAGTCCAGATTTCCCTTAAACCAGACGAACTATACACACCCCTAGAAATCATGTTATCAGGATGGATGAGTTAAAGCTAAAATAGCAAAAGGCTATGTTACATTCAAAGTTCCAATATTCTAGTCCTTCCATCACCTAACAGTATGACCTTGGCCAAAATGTGCATTATGTAGCCATTATTAGAGGATGTTTAAATACTTTCATTCTTTTTACATGGTTCAACAGTTGAAAGCAAGAAGAGAAATCCAGGTTAAAGGGATAAACGTATAAAACACCTTCAACAGTTGCTACATAATGCATATGAATAAGGTTAAATTATGAAAATATAAACCTTTAATTGTGCAACAGAAAACATATGAATGAAACTGTTAGTTTGGCCAAAAAATGGGGACTAATGGTGTAGTTAATTCAAGAAAATAAAATAATAAATCTGTCAGACATTAATCTACCCTTTTACATAGCTTTATATACCTCATGCTATGCTTTGTTGTGGAAATGCCAGTGTATTATGAAGCATTTCCTTTAGGATTACAGTTGCCTTTCAATCAATGCTTCATGTGGGTTTAGACGAACTATGCATATGTTCTGCTATCATCATTTGAGAGTAAATCTCCATATGCCAAGTTTTATATAAGGCAAAAAATACCTATTGAAGAGATCCAGGCGCATTTTTTTCTCCAAGCTTGTATTATCAGTTTGGTGGAATTCCTAGCAAATTTGCGTATATGATCATGGCCTGAACTTGACCTCTGACATTGTGAGTAACTACTAGGGCAAAGAAGTTTCATCAAGATGTACTTTGAATTTAACTCTACCTGCCTCTAGGCAGAAAATGTTCAGTTCATTTTCAGCTTGAACATTTCCCTTATGTAGTTCAGTCGAGAAATCTTATTGAAGAACTGAAATAGCTGGGGCCTTTTCTATGTTATATTTTCAAATATTTCTAATATAATAGTTTCTGAATTATTCATTATTGCTACTTGTAAAGGTTTCTTCAAATAAACCTCCTTTTTGCTGAGAGTACTTGCATATAGTGTCTCGTCCCTTGTTGCATTTTGGGCAAATTTAAGTGGCTAACTTTCTTTACATAGATTGATGCATTTATGGAAGCAATGTCTTCTAAACTCAGGTCAGAAGATGTATATTTTAATAACTAAGATGGGGTGTTAACCACTTGGTGCCATTTTTTATATTTGTATGTGAATTTATTATATTTTAATCAACTAAGATGGGTTGTTAACGACTTTGTGCCACTTTTTGTAATTGTATGTGATTTTATTTATTTATTTATTTATTCAAGTTAATTAAGGGAGTGTTTGGTGACATGGGCTTATGGGCTTTTTAAGCTTCTGATCAGTTAATCTGTTTGGCATGCCTGACTTATTGGATATCAAGAGGGGTTTAAAAAGCCTGAAGATCTTGAAAGCCCCGAAGGTGGGATCATGGCTATTGGGCTTCTCCTGATCCCAGATTACAACATTTTGTTCTTCCGGTGATAAGGATCTTCATGATTTCGCTACCTCACCAATCAACTCCTTCACTGGTTAGAGAGAAAAAATCAAAAAAATTTAGAGACAGAAAGTAAATAAAATTTAGAGAAAGAAATGTGAGAGTTAAGCAAAATTAGAAACAAAATTTTAGAGAGAGAAAGTTGGGAAAATATAGAGAAAGAAAGTTGAAAAAATTAGAGAGAGAAAGCTGAAAAAATTTTGAAAATTTTGGTGAATTAAATGAATTTAGGGACAGAAAATTATAGAGAAAGTTTAAAAAATTTATATATGGAAAATTTTAGAGATAAAATTTAAAAAATTTAGAAAAGAAATTTTAGAAAGCGAAAGTTGAAAAAGGAAAGAAAGTTTTAGAGATTGAAAGCTGAAAATTTAGAGGGAGAGTTGAAAAAAATTTAAGCATAGAATATTTTAAGTAGAGAGTAAAATTTTGGTGCCAAACAGGATATTGGACTTTTAAGCCAGCTTATGAAACAGAGTGCCAAACATATTATCAAAAGCTCTAATTTAATCTAATTAGAAGTTGAGATATAAAAGCCTACAACTTCATAAGCCTAAAGTCTCCAAACACCTCTTAAACCCATGGATTTTGTGTTGGGATCCTAGATGTTCATATTATCACTTAGCTTCTATGATATTAATAAGTCTTGTTCATTTAGCTGTGATGCTTAACAGTTAATACATTATCACTATTTCCATGCATTGTGTTATGCATGAATGCTATCTTGTCAGGGAAAGGAGTGGCAAAGTTCTGTGCCAAATATCTTCATGAACAAGTTCTCAAGAATGAAGCCTATTTGGCTGGCGATTTGGGTGTTTCTCTTCAGAAATCTTTTCTGAGGTTAATTTATTCCTTTTATGTCATCTTTTCATTTAAAATTTTCAGCAAGTGCTACAATAATTATGGTCCAAGTGCACACAGGGTAGCAAGGAAGGTGTTGTTCACTTCTAAGTTGCGTATTCTCATCAGAGTGGAAATCTTGAACCAGGTTTCTGGTTTTATCAGCTGGTCAATGTGGCCTCTAGAAATTTTGTTGATGCTGCAGAATGTTACTGTTCATATATGCATTGCCTTGATGTTGCTGCTCTGAAATTTAGATTTTGTTTCTATATGGGGTGGTTTGGATTTATCATTTTGCGTGAACAAATTCTTGAATAGAAGTGAATTTGACATTTTTTCTGTAATAATTAGAAGAAAGAAAAATATTTGTGTACACAAACACTGTGCTAATGACCATGGATGATTTTGGAAGCATTCAGTTACCTTTCCAATCCCATCTTTATTAGTTATTTATTTATTGCAGAACAATCTACGGAGGATGGAATTTGTAGATTGTTGTAAAACTGTTGAGTGTTATATTACTTGTGACATCAAATAATTTTTGGTTGTTGCTTTTCTGATTCACAATTTATTATTAATATTGACACTGTTTTCTGGAAGCAGAATGGATGAGATGATGTGTGCGCAAAGAGGTCAGAGAGAAGTAGCCGTGCTGGAAGGTAAATCTGAACAAATTGGTGGTGCAATAGGAGGTTTAATACGGTCTCCTAGGGGTGAAGCTAATGGACATCTTGCTGACTGGGCCCTGGAGGTAATTTGTTTATAGCAAATCAAGTAATGTGAAATAATGTGCATCATTGCAATATATTATTTTTCCTTCTGCTATTTTACACAGCCAAACCTCTACTTGTAGTTATCTTTTCAATGGTGGAAGACCATTCATGATTCTTGACTGAAATACCAAACAATCCCTGCTGCATATGTTTCTATAATTATTTTCAAATACAACAACATATGTCCTTTGTAATTTATATAATTCCATGCTGGGAAAGTCCTTGATTGTTGACAACACTAGCAAATAGTTAAAAACGCAACTTAGGTAAGCCAAAGGCATAAGGTGTGAAGGTTAAAATGAGTTTAAATGTTGAGGCAAGGTCTGCTTAGTGGAAGGCACAAAAAAGTAAGCCTTATTTTTGACTGTTGGTTTTGCTTTAATATTAGTTAGCAAACCATGTTGTATCACATCTAAATATTTTTTTCAATGCTATACAGCCCTTTTTTTTTTGCCCCTTTTCTCTCTCTCTCTGTACATTTCTATCTTCTCAGACTTATTTATCTTGTTTTTTGCTTGGACTCATTTTCTATTCCTTTTTCTCTGTTGTTCTAGTTTGTTTCTTTTGGTTCCAAACAACAGGAAATTTGTTTTCTTGTTCATTTTGGCAATTTTTATTCTCCTCTCTGTCATCCATATGGGATATCTCTCTTATCATGCACAATGCACAACTTGTTTTCTTCTTTTTCCTTTTTTACCATTTTCCTTGAGAAAAAAATATTTAAGAAATGTGCTAGAATTTGCTGTAGTGTATTATAAATTTTTTTAATGTAGGACAGAAACAGAAGATAGAAAATAGAAGGATTTTCTTTGTTCAGTCAGGTCATACTATTTAAAAGAAACAACAAGAATTTGATGGTGCATATATAAGTAAACATATGCCACTCATGGCACATGGGTCTATATAAAGGCTGCAAACTTGTTGGCTTGTACCAGGCAACTACAAGTAATGAGCCCATCTTCAATTCACTCAATTAGTGTGATGTAGTATGACCATTGAGGAATGCACTGGTAAATTCTACAGTTTGGCTGTGAAATCTGAGTTTTTGTGGATTGAGGGCATGATTATTTCAATGTCCTAGTATGGACTGAATCTGCTGATTGCTGGTGCATTTTGTGCTAGCCAAGTAGCATATCAGATGGAGGATGCTTTGAAGAAGAGAACTTGTTGTAGAATGGAAAGTGCAATATATGGAAATGCTTGATTTAATCTTAATTGGAAGATTAAGAGACTTGATTTTTGCATTTTCTTCTTGTATTTTCGGCCCCCGAGCCCCGGGGGGGGGGGGGGGGTGTGGTGTGGCGGGGTGGATGTCGAATGGCCAAGTTTCCATTTTCATTCAGAAGTTTCCTATTTTTCTGATTTCTTGTTAGTCAAAGATAGCCTTAGGTTGCTTTAAGAATCTTTATTTGATTTTGAATTGTTTCCTTGAGAAGTAAAGAGAAGTAGGCCTATATAAGAGATGTAACAACTATAGAACTCTTCTACTTGGATTATGATAACTTCAATTTGAGAATACTATTGAGTGTGAATTTTCCTCTCTGGATTGAGAGTTGGCTCCTGGATTGAAGTGCTATTTTCCAACCAGCGCTTGCTCGCCTTGGTGAGTTGGCAATCTCCTCTTGTTTCTATATTAAAACTCCTGTCTGAGCTCTAACCATCAAAGAGGAGTTACTTGATTATGTTGACATTGAGCCTCCTGATGATCCATTATCATTTCCACCTCATGATTCGGAAGGTTACTTGAGAGTTATTTGGACCACTTCTAACAACTATTTATCAAGGAAGGTGCTGGTGAGATGTTTCCAACATGGAAAATTTTAAAAGTAGAGTTAAATTGGAGGGACAAGTTTGTTCTCTAGGGATTGATACAGAAAGTTGCACCAATGTGTTATCTGAAATCCTTGATCAAGAAACTTGGTTTGGAAGTAAAACCTCAGTTAGAGCTATATCATGTGGCATGGATAGCTAAAAGTTGATAAGTGATATCTTGTCACTTCACTATTTGGAGTTCTCAAGGAAACAATGTGTGATATGCTTCTTTTCAAACCTGCTCACATCCTTTTCTGGAATGCACTTGGATTTGGGATCCTAACATGGCGGCTAAGAAGCACAGACATGGAAACTTGTCATGGACATAAAATGAACTCAGGGATATGACACTTTTTAAAAGAAATGTAGGACAAGACATGGTGGGGGCACAAAATATATTGACAATATTCATATATATATATATATTGTTAAAAATGTAATATATAAATCTAAAATATTGTAAAAGTAAGAAACAACACATATAGGAACCCTCCAAAAAATGTTCAACCAATTAAAGACATCTGGTTTAACTTTCCTGAAGAAAATATTATTTCTTTATCCTTTACTGCACTTATAATAGCATTGCTCTCTACCCCTTTTATCACTGTCTCAGTGTCCTGTCTTGTACATTTTAACATCTTGGAAGTTGTGGTGAGTACTAATATTTAACCTCATATTAGTCAAAAAGACTTGATGATTCTGCCAGTGTGAAAAAGGGTCAGTTGTATATGCGTATCTTTCACAGTTTTCTGATAATATGTGACAAAAGTTCTCACAAAATGTCCATGAACTAGGAAACTGAATCTGATTTACATGATGATTATCGTGGACCGACTTCTGGAAGTACAGCTTGTGTTGCAATTATACGAAACAACCAACTTGTTGTTGCAAATGCAGGTGATTCGCGTTGTGTAATATCTCGAAAAGGTCAGGTAACTCTTTTCTTCCACCTTTCTTACTTTTCTTGGTTGTTTTAGAATTTTCAGTAGAAAATTGAACACAGGAGCAAGTTATCAATATAGTCCATTCTCTGAAATATTTTTCTCTTTTTATCTGAGGAAGTAATAATTGTTTGTTGAGGATAATCGTATTTACACCAGTCACTTGTAATGATAATGGTAGTCTGACTTCTTATTTCTGCGAGGACAATCTGCTTCTTGTTTAAAAATGGGTGGTTAGGACAATATATTTGGACGCCAGTTCCGTGATGCATTTGTGCAATAGTACTACTGATCCTTATTTAATCTGGCATGAGCGCTTTTAAGTGCATTCTTGTTATGCAGGCATATAACTTATCTAGAGACCACAAGCCTGACCTTGAGGCTGAGAAAGAGAGGATTATAAAAGCTGGTGGTTTTGTCCAATGTGGGCGGGTTAATGGAAGTCTGAATTTAGCTAGAGCAATTGGTAGTTTTCATCTATTGAGTTCATCTCTTGATTCAAATTGAAGAAATGAATAACATATTCTTTCTTCTCTTTTGGCTTATTTTTCTTTGTCTCATGGATGCTAGGAGACATGGAGTTAAAGCGGAACAGATTGCTCCCTGCTGAGAAGCAAATTGTGACTGCCAATCCTGATATAAACAAGGCATGTAGCATTTGCACTTCATGTAATGTCCAACTTAAGATTCCTGCTAACACACTTGAGCAACGTACAGATTGAAAATAAAGTTTATTCATTGTTTTTAGTTATATATTGAAAATAAAGTTTATTCCTTGTTTTTTATTTATACTATTATGGATATAAACTTGCTTTTACATGGATATCTGGAAAACATTTACGCTATAGATGCTAGAATTCAATATTTGCTCATTTTCCACATGAGACTGGATAGTTATCTTGAACAAGTAACCTTTAACCATTCATTTTTCCTTTGTGGTTTCATTTCACATCTTTTTGACTTTGCTGAACTAGGTTGAGCTTTGCGACGATGATGAATTTCTTATTTTAGCATGTGATGGCATATGGTAAGTCTCTTTTGTCATTTATGTCTCCTTGATTTTGTGAATATTGTGTGTGCATGCGTGTGTCTGTGCATTTGTGTGTTGTCTAGCTTCTGTGCTTTGGTGAGTGCTGAAGAATATGAACTGTGTTATTTAACGGAGTCCTGGTTCTAGGTGTTCTCTAGAATCCTCTACACCATTTTTTCTGGAGGACATCATGCCAGGATTAAGTGATTGTGCCACTTGAAAATCCAATGGAGTGAAGGATGGAGGGAACTTTATGATGGTTCCCAATATGAGAGAAGGGTTTTATGGGACCTAAAACATCCGTTGCATCCTTTTTTTTTTATTTTTATTTTTAATACCAGAAAATAGAAGTATTACATCTAAAGAGATGCTGCTCAATTTCAATAGGCCGTAGGATGACAAGGCGCTTATCGATTTTTAAGTAAATGGTTTCTTGTTCATTAAGAATAAATGAATCTGAACCATAATTATACAAAGGCACTTCCTAATTGAAGGAAACTTCCTTTCTTACAAGGATTGGCCCAAGGGCTTAGCTTGAGGTTTTAAACTTTGATGATAAGCATACAAGCAATGCATATCTACTTCATCACTAAGCTGCTAATAGCTCATCAGAGTTACAACCTAAGATTAAAGATGTGTATTGGTTTCAGTTACCTGGTTGCTTGAATCACACATTTGAATTTTCACTGCATATTGCATGGGAATATCTCCACATTATAATGAGCAATTGATAAGATGTTGCTATGATGTTCTGCATTATTCTGTAGTTCGGTTATTCATTTACTTAGTGGAATTTCATAGAGCCTATCAGACTGTGATGTCTTGTTTGAACTATTGGATTGCATTAAAAAGCATTATCGTGATAATAGTCTGCTTTGCTATTTAGGGATTGTATGTCAAGTCAACAACTAGTAGACTATGTTCGAGAACAGCTGAATAATGTAAGTTAATGAGACATTTTTTGAGAAAATTATTGATACATTACATGGTGGTGAAACAGAAATTGGGTGCTAATCTTGCAGGAGACTAAGCTTTCTGCAGTATGTGAAAAAGTATTTGATAGGTGTTTGGCGCCAACATCTGGTGGTGAAGGATGTGATAACATGACCATGATATTGGTCCAGTTCAAGAAACCAATTGAGTGCAGTTCTTCTGGCAAGGAGCAGCCCCTGCAAGCATTCCCTGATCCTCCACATTTTGACACCGAAGAAGACCCAGAGATGGAGATTGTTGATTAAAGCATGACAACTTTCTGCAATAACAACTAATGGTTCAAAATGAAGATCTCCACACGTACTTGTAAATGTAAGACTTATATTCTAAGAGTAGCAATGCTTCAAGTGCTGTGCATAGTTTTGTGTTTTGACCTACTTGATTTGAATGACTTGGCAACATTAGTTCAGTATAAAGGAAAAAACATGACAAGCATTCCATGGAGAAATGGCTGATCAATAGGAGATTTAGTTACTGTGAATGACCAAAAGCCTAAAATTTGCTTAGAGATATTGGAGATACGGGCACAGGTTAAATTGGGTAATATGGAGACTTCTGGCTGCACAACTGGAATGGAAATATTCAACAGAAATTTCATAGTAGTTTGATAAATTTCAATTGAGATGCCTATTCTTCTCTTTTTTTTTTTATTTCCTTTCCTTTTCTTTTCTTTTTAATTTATTTGTATTGTTGTTATTTTACTTGATATTCTTCTCATTTAACAGATCAGCCAAACAAAGCATTAAATCTGAAGTCGACTTGCCTGATAGTAAAAATTCATATTGAGGTAATACTTATTTTAGAGGGGAATTTATCTTCGGGGTATTAAGTGTAGCGTGTGCATGTACTGGAAACACTAGTTTCCCCACTCCTGAGAATTGTTTTAGATATGGTAAATGCATCTTTTACTCGACTCCAAACCTAGCCATTGCACTTTGGAAGTGCCACGTCAGTGTGTTAAAAAGTACTTGTGTATGCAATTGATAATCTGGTTGTGGCATCTAGACCAGTGAACCACTGCTTCTCTGAATTTGAAATCCAATTCCTTCGTTAATAGAATCGTTAGATGTGGTTAGCATTGACTTTCTGAAATCTTTCGTTAGCGTTCAGTCTCTCTTGGTTAACTAAAGATTTGCTAGATGTGGTTTAAACTTCTTTTCAACGCGCTCAAGGACTACACTGACTGGGTTACTTGTCTCGCCTGCAATAGATTGATGGTTTTTGCAGTGTGGGGAAGAAAAATGCTCTGAAAAATATGGAACATATCTGGATTCTAATTTGTCTTGTAAGAAGTTTCCAAAAAAAAAAAAAAAAAAAAAAGGAGAAAAAGTAAAAACCCGTTCAATGTTAGTCCATCTTGAGAAAACCGAGTCGAGCCCAAGCCTAGTCGAGTGAAGAAGCCTACGTCGGACCTGTGTTTTCAAAAAGCTGGCCATCCCATTCTGCACTCATATTCTGTCTGTGACGGTCATATTCTGGTGCTGGCGTTTTGCTACAGCTGTAAGTGGAGAGTTGGTGTTCTCTAATAGAAATTGGACTGATTAGTATTGATTTTCTTTTTAATAAATTATGAGAGATGAGGAGCATGGCTACTCAATTTTTACTCGAAAAAGTTAAAGACTTTGTAAAAACAAAAACGTAAAGAGAAAAATTTTACTTGTCACAAATAAAAATATCATATATATATATATATTTAATTTTATGAAATATAGACATATGTAACTCAAATAAAAATAAAATTTTAATAATACAATCAAATAATTATAAATATCTAAGTATTTTAATGTGATGTCGACAAAAATATATAACTGATATAAGATAACAACAAACTACAATAATCAAATTATAAACATTCAAAAGTTTTAAAACATGCACCAGGTAAGAGGAGTAGAAAGGAAACGGCATGTGTTTTGAGTCATACGTTAAGTAAAGTCAAATACATAGAACTGTTATAAATGTAAAAAATTTTCTTCTCAAGTGGCAAATATGGTTTAAATTAAAAAGGTGAAAACTGTTATCATGGTGGTAAATGGATTTTTACCTTAATAATAGTGCAAATATAAATTTGATCTCTTAAAAATAAATTTGTTAGGAAAATTTTAAAATTTTTAGTTTGAAAAAAATTAGTTTCAAGTCAAAATTGATGCCTACTTTTTAGTATCACAAAAAATGTATTTTTACTATTTTTACCACTTTATGGCACATTTTTACATAATTCTATATAAAAATTATTTTAAATATTTCAGAAATGTTTATTATGAGTAAAAGTATAGAAAAATACAATTTTTATTTAAAAATGTGCTTTTAATAATCACAGTGAGGACTATTAATTTATATTAAACAATTTGATCAGCTCCTCCATATACACTCCCGCATGTACAGAATTTATAGTGCCGTTTTAATTTAACTTTTTTTTTTTTTTTTGGGGGGGGGGGGGGGGAGCGTCATCTTTTGGATTATTTTGATAGGTACTTAGATTCTCCTCTTAAAATTTACGAAGAAACGAAAAGAAAAGAAAAGAAAAGAAAAGGATCACAAGTTTTTAGTTCCAAATAATCGGTGTGAGTGGCTTTAGAGGGAAATGACTTTTTTCTCCACCCATCCATTTTAAAAGATGTATTATACTTCTAACAATGGGCAATAAGAAAATCAAGAAGAGATCAAAATACTGGAAAGGCTCTAGGTACATTTCGGTTATATCGTCTCTTGTATTTCGAAAAGATTATCATTTTTTTATTATTTTACTGTATTCAAGATCATCTATTTTATATAAATTATCAATGTGATTGGATAGATCATTGCATCAAACAATTAAATAACTTTTTTTTCAATAAATCCTGTTTATTTCTCTGATTGTTTCGAAAGAAAGTCCGAGTTTCGGACCGGCGAATGGCGGCTGCTGTAGGTAAGATTGGCGGTGGCTGGGGGCTTCCCTTGAAGAATTCAAGGAGGAAGAGGACAATCGGGAGTTATGAGAGAGTTAGGGTTGTCTACCTTTCTTTATCCGCTTCCGCTTTAGCTGATCACTACAAGACCCTGAGGATTTACCCTGGCGCCTCAGAGTCCGAGGTCAAGAAAGCTTTTAGAAAACTGGCTCTTCAGGTAATTTCAGAATTTTTACACTGCATTTGACTGCGAGAAAGAACTTATGGTGATCAAGTTTCTTATCTCATTTATCAAGGTCGAAATATGAGTGCGATTGTGCATTGTCAAATATTTGCGGTATGATTGACGGCTGAAAATTGTTAGAGGTTTTTGAGCAAATCGGTGTAATCCATGCAATGAAACAATTGACAAAATGGAGCTGTTAATCGTCAACTCATTCACACTAATGATTTTTGCACGCCTTCAATCTAATCTAGATAAAGCAGTTTTATAAGAACCACAATTTTACTTTTATTTTTCTCATTTGATTTCTTCCTTAACCCTCTATTGATCACTGTAGAACACCATTCGGTAGTTTTTACTTTTGAATTTTTTGGGTTTTGTAGTTTTTGATTTTATGGGATTATTATTGTCTCTTTCTATGCTAACCCTGCTCTTGCTTTCATGGCATAGATTGTTGCTTAATATATGTGACATTATCCTTCCCTTCAAGGCAACCAAATCTTATTTCTTTTATCTACTCGAATCAAATCACTTTTTATTTTCTGTGTAAATAATTGAGATTGTCTTGGCGGATTATTGGAGTGGGACCTTCTTCGCTAATCACAGTTGATTTGATCAAATATCAGTATCATCCGGACGCGTGCAGGGGAAGCAATTGTGGGTTCCAATTTCACCGCATTAATGAAGCTTATGATGTATGCTCTCTCTCTCTCTCTCTCTGATTCATACTACAATGCATGTCCGTTTTAGGCTTGTCTACATTTGATTGTGTAAAGGAACATGGATGCAAATACGTAATACTAATTTTCATCATGTTATGTTAATCTTGATTATAAATTGCTTCATGCCTAACCAACGATAGTAGTAATAATTCTAAAGAACGGAAACAGACGCTTTCTCCAGCAGATTATGATAGTATGGCCCCTCTTTGATGTTGATATAGACAGACACCTTTTGCTATAAGTAAATAGAGTGATTTACATAACAGAAGCCAATGGCTTCTCTTGATCTTTGGCAATAGCTGACATACTGATTTACATAATCAATATTTTGATGGGTTGGAACCAGTCGACTAATTCATAATTTGAATAGTACCCATCTATTAATTTGAAAGGGCTTTTTTCATGTCATAAATATGTGTTATGATTTAAATCTAACATGCTGTGTGTGCTTATGTAAACATGAATTTCAAGAGCAAAGATTAAATTTCGCATAAATAATATATCTCTTTTAGTCAAACTTTGCATTATTTTGTAACGGATCCAAATTCGTGAATAACCCAATTCATGGCCACACTTGCTATAACTCCTACGAATTAAGAATTTAGGAGACAACCAAAGATGGCTTACTATTAGTAGTATTAATTTTTATTCTTTGTGGGGTGGGAAGCAAATTAATGATAGCTCACTAATTTAATATATTTTTTTCACTCATATGCATTTATCAAGATAAATAATTGTTTGTTTAATCGCAACGTATGTAGGCTGTCATGAGTGATTTGAGAGGAGAGTCGACAGCTTCGAAAATGGAGATGTATGAGCCATGTGACGCAGGACCAGATGAAACTACTACGAGGGGGATGAATTATCCTGACTGGGAGCTGTGGGAGGAATGGATGGGATGGGAAGGAGCAGGAATTCGTGATTACTCCTCTCATATAAATCCTTATATATGAAGATATTTACTACTATGCCACTCAAGTTCGTTAGTGTTTGTATAGATTCAAAGAGGGGATGAATTTATTCTCTACTTCAATTTACATATAAAATTCATCACATTATGGTCTCTTGGAACTACATTTTGTCCTTGTTACTTAATGATTAAGTACAGTGGAAATCTCGCCTCTCATGATTTCTGCAATTTACGTTCTTTTACATTTTTTTTTCAGGTTCTATCAAGTCTCTCAATTCAATCCTATTGCTTAACATACGAGGACAGTTCGTGGCTCCGGTTACCTTTTTCCATCAATATGGGCTAAGGAGGGGCTGACTAATTAGCCGATAATAGCACCTAGTAGTGACAATACAAAGCAGATGTCGCAATCCATATGAAAGGTGGACATATTTCCCCCTTTCTTCCACGGCAAAATCTTCTGGCTTGGCCCCATTTTCCCAATCATGAGCTCATGGTTTGGTCCTTTTGTCTGAATGCTGGGTCCTTCCATGGTGCCTACCTCGCCTCTATCCATCATCATTCTGAATATGGCCAACCATGGTCACCAAGCTCCTGCTAGCCAATGGTCCAATAATGCCCTTGCTGATCACCAAGTCCACCTAGTGTGCCGCTCATGCAACACATGCCCAACTCCCATGTTATGCCAATATCCACGTAAACTGACCAAGACATGGGTATAAAGTTCACACATACATGTCAACTAGCTGCATAACTTTGTTGATCAAAGAAAAACAAAACCTTTTATCTATTAAATGAAGAGTAGTCTTTATTTATTGCAAAATCTAGCGGCCGCAATTGCATTTTTAAGGGTATGGCAAGAGGCATCAATTGTCAAGTTATCTATTAAATGCAGAGGAGAAAATAGAGTAATGTTTCTCAATTCACCGTGTTTGGGGGACCTATAAATTGGCCAGCGTCCCCCAACTCAGTTTCATATGTCCAAAAAAAAAAAGAAAAAAAAAATCTCGTTGTTCTTCTCTAAAAGCAAGAGTGAAAGAGTTTTGTTTTCTCCTATTTAAAAAGAGGTTACTATTGTTTGTTTTCTTGAGTAGAGAGAGGTTGTAAGTCAAATTTTTTCTCATAGTGAAGGTCTTTTAATCTTTGACCATGGTTTTTATCATAAATTTATTTATAGATTTTTCGTGCAAATCTTTGTGTTCATTTTTCTTATTTCATCTTAATTTTATTAACTGCAACTTTACTCTATTGGATAAATCATTTCACAACAAGTAGTATCACAGCCCAACTTGGGTATATACATCTACTTATCATATGCTCTATAGTTGCCACTAAATAGTGAATCCTCCATATTAGAAAATATGATAGATTATTACTTATACTTAAAAATACTAGGTATTATTCACATATATAATTACTATTTATGTGAAATAGTACAAAATCTAATAAAAGTAATAGTGGAAAAATTTGATATTGAAAAGTTCAATGAGAATAATTGCTCACTGTAAAAATTAAAGATAAATGTTATCTTGACAAAAGATAATTTGCCTAAAGGCTACAGTGGAAGGCTAGCGAATATCATGAATGAGAGGTGGAACGTGGTGGATACGAATGTTAGTACAAATCTTTATCTTGTATTAGCAAATGAGATATTGACAAGCATAGAAGAGAAGAATATAGTAAAGAAGATTTAGGATCATCTCACCAAACTATAGGAGGCCAAATCATTTCACATTGAAATTTTCCTTAAGACGAAACTCTATACTCTTCGAACGGTGGAATTTACTTTGGTGACAGAGCACATAAATTTTAGAAACCCAAAAAATTTTGGGGTCAGATGAAAAGTTTAAAAAGTTACAGGGATTTAAAACAAAAAAATTAAAGTGATGTGAACATCTGTAACGATTGGATTTATCGAATTAAAACCATTAAATCCTTGAGTTATTTCAAACGTTTCAATCAAATAGTTTCTATAAGTGGGCGCAACAAATTATTATCTACAAAAGCCCCAATGAAATTTCAAAAAAATTCGTGTTAAATTAGAAAAATTTCTCTGTTTTCATCTTGATTATCTCCTATTCGATCGAGTGTTAGCCAATTAAACACATGGGTGGCCTTCGTTTGGGCATTTCGAACAAACCAGCATAATCAATTTGCCAAGAATTCTACCCAAGTCCAGGTAATTTAATCAAAAATTTCTTCGACTGTAATTGTAGAGAACTTGGGTTAAGAAGAGATAACTTGACTGTGTTTGTTCAGGCTGGGCCAAATGGGTCAGGGTTAGATTAGAAATTAAATGAGTGGGCCGTGGGCCGGCCTAGATGATTCTAGGCCAGATTTATAAATAGTGTATCTGGGCCATGGCCGATGGGCCAATCCCAGAAATGAAAACTAGGTTTGGGGTTTAGTACGAGGAATAGATCTGAATTTTGGATCTAGCTTAGTAACTAATTTAAATAATAAATAACAGAAATTAGAAAATATAGCAAAAATTAAAGAACTGGCTGGTTCAGGGACTTTTGCATCGGTTCACACTTGGTTCAAGGTATTGTTTGGTAGGAAATTAAATGATCTACTTGGTTCATAGCTGTTTCAAGGGTAAATCGGCTGGTTCAATAGAAAAAATTAAAGAAAAATGCAATTGGACAACTGGTTCAACAGTATTAAGGCCAGTTTAGGGTAAATTTTGGCCTATTCAATGGATATAAGTCTGGTTTAGTGACTTTTATGGCTGGTTCAGCGTATTTCATGACTGGTTCAATGAGTTTAAGGTCGGATCAATGGGTTTTAAGGCCAGTTCAATGGGTTTATTGGTCGGTTCAATGGATTTATGGCCGGTTCAATGGGTTTTGTAACCGGTTCAGTGAGTTTCTTGGCCGGTTCAGTGGTTTTATAATCAATTCAATGGGTTTCATGGTTGGTTTAGTGAGTTTGAGGTCTAGTTTAGAGATGAAATGACAGGTTTATGGTTGGTTCAACTTTCTAGTAACTAGTTCAAGACCGGTTTAGTACTTACATGAAAACCTAGGCACATAATCGGGTTTTAAAGGGGAATTTAGTCTTAAATTAATTTTGAGACATATTAAATTCTAAAATAAGAATTTTGATTATTTCTAGATTAACTGTTCGACTCTTGGTGAGTTGTATCGATGACACTCGGAGTTTGTGACTTTTAAGTTCTGTGAGTAATAATGCATATTTATATGAATTGCTGTTTCCATATCTACTAAATGTTGAGTTTTATATGAACTATTTTATAAATTCAAATATTTCGAAACTGGAATTTAACTTTACTATAAAAGTTTACAAGGGATGTATATGGTATTTTTGATTTGTTGGAAAATTTTTTTGAACTATTGATTTTTGTTATGATATGTTTGAACATGTAAAAATTTGTGAACAGTTTTTGTTAAGCTCTGAAAATTTGTTAAGATTCTGTGAATTCGATCCTCCGTAATTTGGGGGTTCTGTAGGGATGGTAGTAAGTAAGGATGATGGTGGTAAGTAGAGACGATGGTTGTATTTGCCTGGTGAGTCCCGCTTGTGATTCCTAGCTGTAATTCTCGCCTAAAGGAACTTGGCGCATTTTTTGTTCTATTATATGTGTATTTGACATGATAAGCCTGTTATATGTGTAACGGCAGACCATGAGGTTGCTGTCTGTTTTTTGTTTAGTTTCGCTATATGAGTAACGACAGACCATGTGGTTGTCGTCTTGTTTTCTGTTTCGAACTTTATAAGTTGTATAACCTGAAAGATTATATTTTATGATAAAAGCATATGATATATGTCTCTTGTCATGTAAATATGTGTTACTCTTCACTGGGTTGTTAGACTCATCCTTTTATTTTTTCAGACTCAAATTCGACTTTATCGACAGATCCAACGGAATAAGAGTGTTCTATCGATCTCGATTTTCGTGATTCCAGTTGATTGGGCTCCTGGGTGTACTAGTCAGTTCTTATTCCTTTTTTGATGTATTATTTTGTTTTAATTAGCTCTACGATCATAGATAGGGTTTGAGTTTAAGGATTTTTAGATGTGGATGATTGTATTGGATTTTTGAAAGTTTGTATTAGAATTTGGATATGGTATTAAGTTGAGTTTTATTTGGTTCTATTATAGTTCCAAGCATGAAAGGCTTGCGAGGTTGGGATTTTCCTAACCCTAGCACCGGTCATGAATCCGCCTTTCGAGTTGTGACATAAATTTTTTTAATACTCTATTTTCTCAACTCATATCGTTGGGATATAAATAGGGTTAGAAGAGCATCCTGAGCTTCTAGTTCAAGGTCTACTTGATTTTTATGATTAACTCATCATGCATTTGACAAATAATATACTTACAAACCACCTAGTCTTTGATGATGTTGTTGCTATATTAGAAGAAGAAAATCGATGCAAGAACAAGGAAGACATGCAAACTAGTTCACAGCAAGTGGAGGCCTTAATGGTGACAAGAGGGAGATCAATAGAACGTGGCTAATGTGGGAGTCACTATCATGGTAGATCCAAATCAGGAAGTATGAAGAATTTCAAATGCTACAATTGTGGCAAGAAAAGTCACTTGAAAAAGGATTGCTTGAATTTAAATAAGAAAAATTCCACTCCTCAAGGAAATGTGGTAAGCACTTTAGATGATGGAAACGCTTTATGTTATGAAGCAGCAACGATGAAAGAAAGCAAAAAAAGATTTGCACATATTTGTCTTATCAACTCTAGAGGTCCATTTCACATGACCTTTTGAAGAGAATGGTTCCATCATTATGAACTTATCTTTGGAGGATTTATGTTAAGTTGCAACAGTCATGCTTTAAAGATCATCGGCATCAGAATCATCAAGTTAAAGATTTTGGTTATAAGGTCGAAATTGCAAAGAAGATCATGAAGATAACTCAAGGTGTGCTTGTACTAATGAAGGGAGAAAAGATAGTTACAATTATATACATGCTAAAGGGAGAGAATTTGTAGGAAGCAGAAGCGCATATTGCTTCAAGTATTTCAAATGAAAGAATTGCAATGATATGAAATAAAAAAACTTGAC